AGATTTTATACATGTATTATGATAGATCTGTATCAGCTCGTAGCCTCGGGATATTTGTCGTGACATAGAATTCCTTTTGACCTTATAACGACACCCTTTTAAAGTTCACACACTTTGACGATAAGGTGCGTGGCGAGTTTGAATACGTGGACAACATTGTTGTCTTGGGCCACGACGTCAATATGTGTCTTGATTGAGTACCTACTGCTCAATCCCTACCCTCGAAAACATAACAAAATATTCAACGTCTTTGCTTCCACCTTGTTCACAACTTGTTGCCAATGTTATCTCATTTTTCGTTTTTTGCAAAATTATATTTGATTAGCGGTGAGAACTTGCGTAAATGATAGCTTCCATTCCAAATCCTATTATACTATGAAGTCGGTTAAGATCAGCCCAAAAGGGCAATAGATTGGGCACAGTTAAGTTGTCGAGTTGAGGCTCGATATTGTGATTGTTAAGCTCTCCCTAGTACGTTTTTCCCTTTGAAGTTCAAAGTCGGATTATGTGAATCCGGATTGTCAATAAATAATTTGATTCATGTATCAAGTTAAGTCACGTCATTACGATTGCCGAGCATATCCCAGTGCGCTACACCCTTCAATCTTGTTGCAAATCGGATTAAATCTAATCCGGATTGGTGCACTTCAGTTACTAGGCTTAGGTACCATATTATGATTTGAATTGTTTATGCCGTTTGAAATTTAATTGGGATTAGATTAAACCGTATTGTTTGTCAATGATTAAGTCATTCAGTTACCGAATTTAGGCACGGAATTATGATTGACATAGCGATCCAACTCTTTGAAGTCGAATTGAAATAGCTAATTCGGATCGATGGCACTTGAGAAATTTAAGTCGGATTGAAATAATCTGGATTACCTGTCAATGATATACGCCTTTCACTTTTCAAGTTAAGGCTCAAAATTATGATTATAATTTGAAGTTGTTATTTGCACTTTTTCTGAAATTTAATTCGAAATAACTTAATCCGGCTTCGTCTTTTTTGATAAGCGCCATTTAATTCATATTAAGACAACCAAAAATGCTTTGTAAACTTTTTCTGTCATCTTTTCTGTGCCTTTTTTCTGCACTTTTGAAATTTAAGTCGAATTGACCTTTTGTTTTATTTTTTCACTTTTAAAATTTAAGTCAAAACGAATCCAATAAGTTTGAATTAATCCCTATTAATTTAGTACTTGCGTCATCCAATTCAGTTTTGGACACGATATTATCATTAATTCTAATGACACGCAGTGAATATCATGAACGAATTCATTTCAAAGTCGCCATATTGGCCGACTTATTATTTAACTTTATTTTCGATTTTCGAGGTACAGCAAAATATGAAGCGATGGTTTTTGACAAGAGCATGAATTCATGTTGTAAATGAACGGAACATTCTGTGTTTTAAGTACAGATATATCTTTAAAATTGTCTTTAAAGCATCTCTCCATTGTGTTTGTTTCATTTATATGACATGCTCCATTGGAAGATGAAATGAGCAGTTATTACTGGAACAAACAAAACAATGCTTACAGAAAAACCTGTACAGTTGTGTTCAATGGGAGAAGGATTATCTAGCACCTCCTCGAATACATGTATATCACTCATTGACTTTAATTATCAATTAGTCGATTAGCTGTACTTATAACTAATCCTTAATACATCGTGACTGTAAGCCGACACCAGTTGAATCACGTCACAAAGAACGTTCTCACGACCTCGTGCTGTTTGACTTGACTGCATACCAGGATGCCAGATCGATGATGTGGTTGAAGCAGGTATGCCCGGTGGTCAAGTTTTGGGGATAGTTTGGAAGGTGCGGAATTATCGATACATACATGCTAGTCCAGACACCACACCTAGTTTTTTTTCGCACTATTACATGATAATTGATCGCTCCTTTAATCTGAACAGAGGTGGGGCGAAGGTGTGGCAGAGTCGCCCACCGTGGTCCGTGGTTCTTTCGGCCCATAACATGGTCCAGGTGTATCAAACATATGGTTTGATGCAGGGACAGAAGGTCTGGTGTCAATTGGTAGTTAATATGATTGACCAATATCGATCTATACAGTCATTAACAAATTAACACCATCTCTGTAATGAACGCAGTGGTGCAGATCCGGGGTGTGGACGGCTTACATGATTGTGAGAAGCACTCAGTTGTTTGGATAGCTACGTGATATGTGCTATGCACAATAATGACGCAAAGCTTTGGAGTTCGGCCTCGTGCGCTACTTCCTATCCACGATAATGACCACCAAGATTTGTAAAAAGTAAAAAAAAAGTGTACCCATACATATTTCTTTTTTCGTTAGGGTTTGTTTCATTTCTTACGATTTGTCGCGTAAACAGAAGGTTCAAGTGCCAATCAGCGGCCAATCGATCGTGATAATATATTCATTAGTTGATTAACAAGTAATTATAAATCCGTAATGAATGGCGATAATTAACGTCTCATTTTCGTTCACCAGACTGCACGTAATTCATAGCCCCAATTTAAAAGGAACTCATGGTCGTTCGCTGGAAAGCCCGTAAGTCATGACGGTCATCCACTGCGTTTCAGTAGATAAGGCTGTCGTTTTAGCTCATCTTACGGCCTCGGATAACAACTGATTATGGTTTCGCTTGGGGACCGAAATTCCTCATATAGAAAATTTCATTTATTGTATTGCCAATCATTTATTTGAGGTTTCATTTTACTGTTAGAATCATAGGTAGTTGTTTTATTATTATTTATTTATTATTTCCACTGTTCCACTTTCTCTATCGATGTCAGAGGCTCCTGTAATCCTAACGCAACCAAATCACGACGACATCATCATTGCAACAACCATCAAGCTTCCACCATGACAAACCTATTAACGATTTCGTTGTACTGTTAATTAAGGGTGCTAATTTGGTCAACTTAACGACAAAAGGAAATAAAAAGCAATGCTAACTGTTAGATCGAGAAAGGACACTAACGCATCTCACTTAGTGGATCTTAAAATACGCCGACAATTCGCAGCATCAGATCTTTACATCTGGCCGCAATTAGCGGAGTTTCTTCAAAGATTATCGGTGGTAATTGAGCGATTCTCCTTTTTACTTTACTCACAGTATAGGTGTAACAGTTTGGTTTGTTAAAAGCAACAGTCATATGGTACAAACAGATGTACATAAGTGCAAAACAAAAGATATGACTTTCGTTTAAAACTACTCGTTAAGTGGGCTAATCAATATTCAATTGACATTGTTATAACACACTTGCATGAGTGATGCCCGTGGGTGAGTGAAATCAAACTCCTCTCCCTCTCAATATAAATAACCAGGTACGAAATACATTATGTATACCTGTATTTAAACCCATCTGTAGCCTTTTTGAAGTCCACTATCTTAAAGAAAAAAGAAATTCCGAGATAGAAACGGAATCGTAATATTGGGCATCTTGTATCTTGATATACGGAGAGCGACAAGAGTCGGTTTCTGTTGCCGTTAAAGCAAAGCTTTGAAATAAAGGATTGTACAAGGCAAAGTATTGCCGTCGTTATTAGCTCAATACGAGGACAAAAGCATCACGTAAATCGCCATTTTATTCCAAAGCAATCTGTTATTGCATACTGCAAAGCATTGTCATTTTCATCACCTCAATCAAGATGCGAAAAGCAAGACGAAATTTTCAAAAATAATTGCTTTTTTCAAGAAATGAAATGAATGGAGTTTTACGTCCTACTCTTCTTCAAGTAATAAAGAAGATAATAATCAATTGAAACTTGATATTAAAGACAAAACGAAGCACTAGTAAATTTGTCACGAATCCAGGATTATTTGTGCAAAAATACAAGAAGATCGTGTCTTGAAGAAATTAATCTTAAATGGAATATCCTTTTACACCAGCGTCACGATTGGAATGGTATATGTATTTATAGTAGTAATCGTGACGGTAGTCCGTGATGGCTGTAAATCTATCACCACCATCAGTTACCATTTAGAACATCCTGGTTAGTTCAGCTCAGACATGTTTCAAACCAGTCGTCCCCATTTCTGTCAGTGATGCAGAATGACAGAAAAGAACGAGAGAACATCTTTAGGATGGATAATACAAGGGTGTCAGCTTGGGTTCATGAGAACCTTTTCTTCCAGCTTGTCACTGGTCGACAAACTTTATTTTACAAGGATAACAACTTAAGTTCCATCGTCTCCTTTCTGCAAGCTGATCTGAACTAAACCTAAACCAATGAGTGCATAATGAATAATACCCTAGGGATAAAATTCAAGAATCAACCGTCCTAGAATCGCCCCCAATTGCACACTGTTGCCTGTCTTAATTATATCAGTTGGGAGCAGAATTGTTAGGCGTAAAACTTTCTTTTCCATTTATTCTTCTGACGGCTTCAAATTGGCATATTTTGGTCTGTCGGAATTAATTTATGTATGTGTGTCACAAATTAGATCTTCGTCCACGTAGATTACTGTGTAGCTTTCTATAAAGCTATATGGAGTGAAATTTAGCTTTTCTTATATTAAGTAAAATGCAGATTTGACATCGAATAGGCCACACTTCATTTCCAAGATTGTAAATAGCAAGGTCTTACGTGTATGTGTGTATGTATATTAGAAGCACGACCTGTATAGAATAGCTGGCACTAGTACAAAGTAGTTCCAAATGCGGATCAATATCCGAGTCTTGATGACGTAGTATTTGACCATATTTTTCGCGGGAAATGTCATTGAACTCGGTCATCTACGTCATCAGCACATCCTCAGTATGGCTTATCTGTTTCTATATAGAATTAGATTGCAACATGTCCTCCTATTTTGAGACATTAGTATAATGAAGTTTTTAATTTCCCTGTTGCGTAATAGTCTTAAAGATATAGGTTGGATAAAGGCCACTGGCTCCATTCTTTGTTTCGCAAGGACATATTTCAGTGTTTTGTATCTATAATGTCTACCAAATGTCCGTTTTTTGAAAGTCCAGTATCCGTTTTGATTGATATAGTCCAATGTTTGTTTTAGATTTGATTCCAATGTCTGTTTTGATTGGTCCAATATCTGTTTTGATTGCTAGCCCAGTGTCTGTTTTGATTGCTAGACCAATGTCTGTTTTGATTGATAGTCCAATGTCTGTTTGAGATTTGATTCCAATGTCTGTTTTGATTGGTCCAATATCTGTTTTGATTGCTAGCCCAGTGTCTGTTTTGATTGCTAGTCCAATGTCTGTTTGAGATTTGATTCCAATGTCTGTTTTGATTGGTCCAATATGTGTTTTGATTGCTAGCCCAGTGTCTGTTTTGATTGCTAGACCAATGTCTGTTATGATTGATAGTCCAATGTCTGTTTGAGATTTGATTCCAATGTCTGTTTTGAGAGTCCAATGTCTGTTTTGATTGCTAGACCAATGTCTGTTTTGATTGGTCCAGTGTCTGTTTTGATTGCTAGTCCTATGTCTGTTTTGATTGCTAGTCCAATGTCTGTTTGGTTGCGAGTCCAATTTATGTTTTGATTGCTGGCCCAATGTCCGGTTGCGAGTCCAATGTCTGTTTCGAATGCAAGTTCAATTTTCACTAAAGACTTCAAGCTTTGTGTCCAATTTCTATTAGAAAATGGAATGCCCTGCAAAATTGTATTCTATGAAGTCAGTTTTGAGTTGGAGTCAGATATATCTAAGACGTGGCTTGTTTGAGAAATATGTCTTTGACTCAGCCTTCTACATTGTTCTATGGTCATACAACATTCATGATTATAAATAATAATGAATAATACAGAGATAAAAATAAGCCCTGTTATTCGAGGGTATTGACACAATTTCGCCATGTGTGATAAACAAGTCTTACTATTTTTAGGCTTGGCTAACCAAGACAGAAGTTTGTAGAAAATCAACGGTTATATAACGATGAATAATGCATTTGAAATAAACGGAACTTGTGTAACAAAAATGACATATTCGATAAGCAAGTTAAAAGTGCTGAGTCAAATTTACCCTTTTATCCACTGAAGTCATGTCATTCGTGATATTAAATCACGAATATATACGATACAATAATATCCTTATAATATATAACATTGGTATTTCCATTGTGACCTAAACTCGGAACATGATAATTTCGACCTAATTTAAAGGCTCGCTGAAGGCGGAAAAGTTTCGTATATCAAACAAAATTGAATGACCTACATAAATACAACCAAACTATATCACTTTTCCATAAAATTACAAGCTGTCGAATGATATTTTTACGTGAATAGGTCTTTGATAATTGCGACCTAATTTATACGGCTAAAGGCGGAAAGGTGTAGAGTACATGTACATATACTATGTATTCTTCCGCTATATATTCAAGCGTATAGCATTACACGTCATTAGTGTATATGACGAATACCGTAAACACACGATTGGACGCTCAGGCATCCACGTAGTATCTTGTGGTGTTTTTGAATTTCGTCAGACGTGATCTTGATAAGCGGTGACCCAGGACAGTCGGTTAAAGATATAGTAATATAATAAACAAACAGGCAATCGGTGAAATGATAGATGGATTCGTAGGCCTATATAGCTTTGTTGACTCTTCTTTTGATAGAAAGAGCGTTTAATCGTTCGGATGGGACAATAAACCGTTGCCCAATCTTGCAGACTGTACATCTTGAATGATATCCGCCTGACAGGGACTTTCTAAGAGAGCTTGCGAATTGTGTTGTAATGTTCAACTTATTTACTTTAGTGACGGCCCGTGCCCCCTCCAAATCCCTCTATTCCAAGCCTCCAAAGCGTAAGGGTAATGGATTGTGGTGTAACACTTAACTTCAATGCCCCTGACAGGCCCAGGCTGCGAATTGCAAATTGTGGTGCAATCCTTAAGTACTACATAAATGATGCCCATGCAGATGCCTCGACAGAAACAATGTGCATTCACAACTTCCGAAATACAAGAATAGTGGCTATTGCAGTCAAGGTATACGACGCAATAGTTTGACATTGTGAAATCTAAAATTGACTAACCTAACTCTGACCTTGATAAAGTAGAAAATTTGTACATAAAAAATGAGTAATGGGTGAAGCATGTCTTTGCTCGTGACAACCGACTATAAATATTGTAATCACGATTTCTTCACAAGCCTTGTTTGATCTGGTTGTATTCATTCCCTAATAATTAGGTCGTAGAATAGAACGTTGTCTGTTCAGTAGCTGAGAAGGCTCATTTCCGAAATTTATCATTGAGTTATCATTTGAGATCTGCACATTGTTTCCGAGGAGTCCTGGAGAGGGGACATAGAATCGTCATTAGGAGCTCACGGACACTATAAGAAATCTATAAGAAATTTGAGAGTTGGATGGGATGTTGGTAAAGCAAGACTAAATTAATCCTGGTGGAAGGCGGCCACAGAATTGTCTAGGGTGGTTTACAGGGTCTATTTCTCCTAAACAAAACGAATTTTGAAAGTGGGGGTGGGGAGATTGCTGGGAAAAGCAGATCACCCACAGCCCCCCTGTGGAAACAGCGTTGTTGAGTAGGCAAGTCGTGGCGACATCGCTTGGTATTTCTTAACAAATCTTCATTAAGTTGCAGAACAGTAGGATGTACAAATGTTTCTAAAGTGCTGCTGTTAACAACCCAAAGGTTACCAGTTGCCCGAAGCGCGTTCCTTTCTTGGCAGACTTACCCTGATGCCATATATGGACACATAGTAGTTTTTCATTCATAAATATCATAAAGTCCTCGAGGCTTTGCGTCTTTTCTTGGAATCTGTTGCTATCTTAAGACATTCATTCATAAAATCTTCAGCTTAGGGACATTGGAACTCCCTATAGTATGGATTGGTCGTTAAAATAGAAATAGTAGAATCATCCTTCACATAATGCCAGGAGGTGCCTGAAAGCCTGGAAATCTTCGAGATGTTTATCCTTCCCCTTTTCTTCCTCTTTGACATTTGATTTTGAAACAATTCTGCAAGCGTTAATATCTATATGTGGTTTCCTCACAGGGATGTAGTTCGACCAATCCTTTTGCAGGGAGGCACCAAGACACCAATTCCAGGTGTAGGGGACAGTTGAAAGTCTCCCTTGGCCCTCTTTCACCCTTTTAAACATTTGTAAATAGGTCCCCAATATTAAACTATTCCAACTAAACATTATTAACATTGGGATCTCTTCATAAAGAGCAGTCGGTGGTTCGCAGCGGAAGGGAAGTAACTCCATTTTGTAACATACATGCTACAGACTACAACGAGTGATTTTGATAGATTTTATTAATGTGCTTCAATTAAAACAGCATATTCATCCTCATATCACCGTACTCTGAAAAATAAACGAAACAATGACAATATCTGGCAAAAATGGTGGGGGCAGAGAGGTGAGGGAATTGAGGCTTTTTTTTTAGCTTTCATCATCACTCTCGCTTTATAATCATAAAAGACAAGCCTGTGAGCATCCTCCTTCCTCCCTTTGACATTTATGTGTCTCTACCCGGTCCCCACCTTATCATTGTTGAAAGCGCTATATTATTAGACCTACTATGCATTATGTGGAATAACTCACCTTCAGGACTGATCTGTCCATCATGATCAGTATCAGCGGAGTCGATGGCTTGTTGGGCGCTGGTATCGCTCTCTCCAGTTTGCATTAAAGATATCTTCAGCTCCATCATCTCTTCGTCTCCTTGAAGGACGCCATTTTCATCTAAATCCATCGGCGCCATGAACATGTCCCACATGCCGTTAACTGAAATTACAAATGGACAAATCTGATCTTCGAGAGAAACCTTGGGACTTCAGGCTTTTGGTGATCTTCAAAATCAGACATTGGGACCCACCCAGGGACTAACTTTGAGTTAGCTCATTCACTTTACATGTACCGGGTTGGTGGTAAATCTCCACCACTTCGTGGTGACCTCTTCGTGCTCAGATCGAAACAGCTAAATCTTTTATCTGCACCATGATGCCAATACGAGAAAAACCACGGCTTACCTTTGACGCTCACGAGTCCAATCACAACCAAACATATAACCAATTTCAACATGGAAGACATCCTTAGCTATCTCTTCTTGGTTTAGTTCGCTGAAAGTAACCGATCAAAAATGGGTTTGCTGAAATAAGTTCTGCTGCATGTGTCATTCCTTCCGAGAGTCGACCAAGTGTTTACCCCCTATCTAAGACCTCACCTTGCTCCTTCACTGTAAGATTCTGACAAATTATTTTCGAAATTTAAGCTAAGGCTACTGTACGATCCTATTAAAAAGCTTACCTTGTTTCCTTACTATCATACAAGTTTCTGGACAATCTTTCTCGAAACTTCGTATTTATAGATTAGCGACATCAATGTGCCTCATCATTTTCAAATTTGGTCCAATCAATTTTTAATAAAAAAATACTCTGATCAATATAAATAGTTCTAACATTGGATATAAAACAACAGAGTCTCGAATAGTGTTTTGTTTAGCTTCATGAGGCGTTGTATTTTCCTATCCAATTTAGCAGGTGCCCGGAGTTATTGGACATTCTGGATTAACCAAGATGAAATGGGTGCAATTATCTTTGGGAAGATTAATATGTTTTTAAACTCCATTTTCTGTATTAATTACTTTTTTTTAATTTCACCTTTTTTCCATCCGTCAAAGTCACCCACACGACCATAAAGGTTTGAATAGACGAGGACCACTGTCCGGTGGAGATATGTGTAAATGAAGATACAAGACGCAAATCCTACACGCATTCGCAGTTTGTGTATTCGTTTCTTCAATGTGTTAATGTATCAATAATTATATCGACCTGTAAATAGTGGAGCTTCTATGATCCATTATGTGTATGAGCCATAGAATCGCCAAGGGGCGAAACAACACCGAGGCATTTAATAACTCGCTGATAGGAAAATAGAAATACGGGGGAATGGAAGCTAACCAGGATGTGCCGAAGAAATACGACAGCCTGTATACAATACTACAATGGGCACAATCAAACCTTTACTCTTATAAGTGAATATTGCATATGTAGCGATTATCAGCCAAGAACTGAGCATAGTGGTCGATGGCCAGCGCTCAGAAGGCGACCTGTAAGAATATGTAAGAATGAAATATCGACTGCATAAGAAAAATACATGTAAATGGTAAAGGTCTTAATGTATTGAAAGCATTGTATTATATTGAAGGGTCCATAATGATATTATCAAAGGTGTTTTGGACCCATAAACTCGACCTATAGGCCTACATTTTGTATAAGTATTGAGAACGAGTTTTTTTCACTAAAGGAATATACACTGGAAGTAACCAATCACAAGAGGGCGCTGTAGAGAGTTAAAATACTGTCTCATGAAATACGGGCGGTTATTGCGGGAAATATCAAGTCAAAATGCAGGATTATCTCAAAGATCTGTTCAATTCGGACGATGCTAAACGAAACGTGTTGATTGCAGGCGGCGTGGTCGTAGCATCAGTAATAACGTTTGCTGTTTATAAAAAGGTGACGGGATCAAAGTAAGTAATTCTAATATATTTGAGTTAGATATTGGCACAGTCATGGCCCTGTTTGATTCAATGAAATTCTTATCCTAGCTGTTGTAAGCCACTGGCCTTGTTTGATTGAAACGGATACTCGTAATGTAATAGCCTATGTAGATGCAGTAGCTCAACAAGATGAGTGGGGACCTGTTGACTTAATGGGCTGTTGACCCTCCTAGGGGAAATTTCTTTTTTATTTCTGTGCTTTCATGCATTTTTTCTGGGGCTGGGGGCCTGTGGACTTGGTTCAACTAGTCCCCGTGGTTGTTGAGCCACTGCAGATGAATGGCATGGTTTGATTCATTTCGATTCTAATGCTAGTTAAGGAATGCCATTGGCCTTGTTTGACAGAGTTGGATATTGGATAATTTTGCCACATCTTGAGTCAGTCGTGACCCATATGGGCCATTGATAATCTTGCTTTTGATTATGGCCTAAGACCCAGGTAGATTGATATACAACTACTATGTATCAACCCAATCCCCACAGTATTTCTTCCCCTTACTTCTCTTGTCTCTAATTGCAGGAAGAAAAAGGACTACCCCAAGAATACAATAGTTGTCCATGGATTTGGAAGAGGTCCTTACTGTCCCAGTCTTTCTCCTTTCGTGATGAAAGTTGAAACTTATCTTAGGATAAACAACATTCCTTATGTGGTAGGTGGCTTGAGACTAGGTGTTGATATTTTATTTTCATCAATAGCTTCATTTTAAACTCTTCTTGCAGACGTCATGTGATAAAGTTCAAGGTGTGTCTAATTGTAGTTTGAAATTTCTTTGCTATTTGGTCGATGGCATTGCATCTTCAGGTGCTTAGTCAAGGAGCAGAAAAGTAGGAAAGAGAACTCAATTCATTTCTTTGAAGCTGGTCCTCAACTTCATTAGCCCACAAGGTGCAGAAAAGAAGAAGAAAACTCCATTTGATTTCATTTCTTTAAGGCTGATCCCGGTGTAGAGATGGGTCCAAAAGGGAAAGTTCCTTGGATTGAGTATAATGGTGAAGTCTTTACAGATTCATCTTTCATCTTGAAATGGTGTAACAAAACGTTCAGTGTGGATTTGGACAAGAAGCTGAGTCCAAAAGAGCAAGGTGTAGCTCGCTCTATACAAAAACTGGTTGAAGAAGATATATTCTGGTAAGATCTGGGATACTGGTAGCACTGTCAATTACAGTGTGGTAGGGCCGTGGTGTTGCTAGGATGCATCAGGTGAGGGGGGCGAGCAGGGGCCATGTTCCATTCTTTCACATGTCAAATGAAAGGGAATATGAATGTGGGAGCCAAAGCCCTGCCAGCATCTAAAGATCACCTCAGTATGCCTTTTTGAGCTGTAAGAATATTGTTTTAAAAGCTCTTAAGATCAGAAGGTGTAAGAATTTTGTAACATCTGTTTTTCAATTTGTTCTCAAGGTGCTGTATGATGTGTCTCTTTGTTTTGGACTATACTGACAATTCCTGGACTGGTTTTGGCTGGCTGCCCAACAAAATCATCAACTATAAAGCCAGGAAGGATTGTTGGGCTCAAGGTATTGGTAGACACACCAAGGAGGAAGTACTTGATATCATGGAGTCAGACGTCAAGGCGCTGTCCAACATCTTGGGTAAGTCAAATTCACAAAATTCAGATCTCACTTGTGAGCAACAATAGCAGATGCCAGGCAGGGTATGTTCACTTTTCTGTAGGTTTTCATGTGTAATTTTTGTCTTCCATTTGCATGATTCCAATTTTCGCCATATCTCTTTGGTTCTTGTAATTATACATATCTAAGATGTCATATTGAAATATTAAAACAGAACCTGAAACATGTTGTTACTCCATGAAGTGAAATCATAAGAATATGGTATATCCACCATTCCTTGGTCCTCTGATGTATGTATATCTATATATATATCTTGTATGATTTGTTCTCCCCAGGAAACCAGAAGTTTATAATGGGAAATGATGTGAGTGAGGTGGACTGCTGTGTTTTTGGATTCTTGTGTCAACTAATATGGCAGAGTCCAGAACAACCGTGTGTGGATTGGATGAAAGGTGGGCCCTTTTTTCAAAATAATTTTGAAATATCTGATGGTTGTTCTTCAAGTACAATAAAAATTTGTTGAATACCTGGTAATACATATTAAGATATACATATACTGTAAAATAAAAATAGGGAAATATATTCATCTACAATTTGCATGTGCGTCATCAAAATACGAATGATTTTTCGTAACTTCCCCACTTGGTTGAGGATTTGGAACTGTTTATCATCTCAAAAGTTTCTATTGGATTTTCTTTTTCATTTTCAGTGAAGTACCCTAATCTGAAAGGATACTGTGAGAGGATGAAAACTGCGTATTGGAAAGACTGGGATGAGTGTATCACTCATGGGTTAACTAAAGAGGCAACCAAATGAAGGCATCGGTGGACACCTTGCTGAAGAGCTGAACAGTTTCAAAGACTAGATTTATTTTCCAAAGACCGTAGCATTTTCAATATGGGCGTTTATTTCTTTGTTATTAGTATTGTTAGTGAGAAATTTTTGTAGCTATTTGTTTTTAAAAAAATCAATTTTATTTTATTTTTGTTGGTTATTTGTGTACATCTGTTATTCATTGTTATCAAAACATTGGGATCCACAAAGGTAGCATAATTACAAGGTGCCAACCAAGAGTTTTAGTGGAATACTAAGTACCCTAAGTCATACATAGCCAGGTTAAATTCGGGGTGCCCCAAAATTCTAAGAAGTATTCGATAAATTTTATTTCGAAATATTAAAATTACATAACAATCAGTATAAAATATATTGTAACAATTGACTAAAGTTCCCATGAAAATCTGCATTATGTGTTAAATACCAGAACACAATTTTATGGTATACTACTCCTGGATTTTATGCTACACAACGTTTCAACAATTTACATTGTCATCTTCAGTTTATATGGTATACTACTCCTGGGTTTTATACCACACAACGTTTCAACAATTTACATTGTCATCTTCAGTTTATATGGTATACTACTCCTGGGTTTTATACTACACAACATTTCAACAATTTACATTGTCATCTTCAGTTTATATGGTATACTACTCCTGGGTTTTATACCACACAACGTTTCAACAATTTACATTGTCATCTTCAGTTTATATGGTATACTACTCCTGAGTTTTATACCACACAACGTTTCAACAATTTACATTGTCATCTTCAGTTTGTATGGTATACTACTCCTGGGTTTTATACCACACAATGTTTCAACAAATTACATTGTCATCATCAGGTGAAATGAGTAAATATAAAACAAGAATGTAAGGCATACAATAAAACTAAAATTGTGTTCTGTTATTTAATATGATCTCTACTCTTAAATGTCGCTTAAGGATTATTTACATTTAATGTGTGGCACAGTTGTACAAAAATAAACTCTGCATATTGGAGCACTTCATGAAATAGAGATTGAAAAACTGCTTTTTAAAGTAATTTGAAGTATTGTGGTAATTTTTAAGTAAAGCTGTTTGTTAAATGAGCACTCAAAAATGAGCAAAAAGCTTTCGATTCAGAATAATCAAGTCAATTAGTAAATCTTCATGGAATTTTCATATATCTCTGACAAATGATCAGCTTCTACTGGTTTTGGGGATAAATTCAGCAGTCGTTTCTGAAAAAAACCCAAAATTGTATTAGAACATTAATAAAATCAGGTAAGTAGTATAAGAGCTTATAGATAGGGCGCGTTTTTATAATTTATAAAAAAAAAATCACTTTTTGACCAATTTGACGTTAGGAAAATTATAAATTATAAATTATAAAAAGTACTCAGGTACTGGCCGAATTAATCGGCTTGTGGTGCTATAGTGAAGTAGGACATCTCAGTAGTGACTGTAGACTTGTGTTTATATAGACTATAGTTCTGCTTTTCTGGACATAAAATGAATGCATAAGGATGATTGTCTCCTGCTCTAAACTTAAATTCTTACTTGTGGTAATGCCCCTTTAACCATGGCTGGTATATCCTGACTACTGTAGCCTACATCTTCCAGACCATTTGGTACTTTAAGTTCATCCAGTATTTTGAGCAAGGTATCTGATAGAACTCTTCCAGCATCCGCTTTCTTTACATTCGTCACATCAGCTCCTAAAATTCAGAGTTTGGTTGGCAATGATTTGATTTGATATACAGCGGAATTGAAATATAATTTGGTGGTGATTTGAAGTGGTTGCAGGACCAAAAACACCACATTGCATTTTTCTGCTTTAAAGAGATTGTAAAGAACTTTTCTTAATCCCTTTCTTAGTTTTGTAAGAAGTTTAAAAACAGTTGTGGCTTACCTAGCATCTCGGCAGAATGGATGTGTCTTTCTGGACAAGACGAGCCTGTCCAGCGGAATACTGCTGGGGATGTTACACATACAGACAAACCATGGGGCTGAAATGACAATTTAAGATGGTTATCAGCTCTTGAGGACCATTTGCCATGAAGATCCCAAATCTTTGTTGGCATTAGGAGAGTGCATTGGCACATATCTATGGTTCACTTTAGAAAGAAACTTATCTTACCACAATAGGTCCAGATCCCTTGTAACCTTCTGGTTTATAATCTCTCACTAGACCAGCTATAGGGTACGACATACCATGGCTGCAAGCATAATAATCATGTAGGTTAATCCTGGTGAATTGTCACCTTTGAACATGCTTTTGGAAGCTGACGTGCCTCAGTGGGTTGATGCTTGCTGTGTCATCTGAATGGGACAATCAACCAAGGCTAGGGCTAGGCCCTGTGTTCGACAGTTGGAATAGAGACCAGGAGGATGAAGTGTGCAAAAAACTAGGACAGTAAAACTGCATTTATTTAAATTTGTACTGGCTATCTAAACTTTAGAAACATATTTTTTTCAAATCTGGAAGAGTCAGAAATGCAATAATCTTTTTAATAAAACTCTTCTAATAAAGTGTATGGCTCTTACCACAAATGACATCCAGAGTTTCCAAAACCAATGCCAGCATAGGAACTGGCATTATGCATAGCTGACCTGGCTTCTAAATCATCAGAATCGAACACTGCCCTATAGAGGAAAAGATGTTAATAACCTAAATTTCTAGTTTGGACAAAAAACAGCCATTGAACAGAGGCTGTTCATAGAAAGTTATGCAGTTAGCAAGGCTAGAACGATGCCTTTGACTGAAAGAGATTATAAAGAGGTTTTCTAGAACTTTAATGTATTCTACAGAAACTAATAGCATTGATTTGTATCATTCCAATTTTCTAATACCACTTGTACTAAGTCTTTTTACGATGTTCATCAAGAATTACCAGTTTGTTTTATTACCTTTTAATATATTTGCTGGTGACTCTCAGCGCATGTTGACACCAGATGTCACTCATGGGGTTACTACCCTGGTAGGCGGGGCGAAGAATGGGATCAGTAGGGGCTGGTGATCGTTCGTTGTAGGGTAAGGCTGTGTATGACTCCAAGGCATGACTGAAAAGATAAACATCAAATTAAATCATCTATTCGATGCATAATTTAAATTGAGAGTCAATTTGATTAATCATCCCTAATTTCACACATGAACTCATCTAATGAATACAGACTATATTTGCATATTGATTTAAAAATGCTTGAGTGAAAGAGTTCATTTGACAGTATGGGGGTGTCGGCTTTGTCTTATGTGTATTCAATTTCTTACTTACCACAGGACATCAATTCCACTATAAGCAGTGACACGTTCAGGCATATACTGTAAATGTAGAGGATCGACAATACCCAGGGTTGGTCTCAATGCCCTTTGAGCAATGCCTAAAAGAGAGAAGTAACAATAAAGTTCCAAGGATCGGGTTTTAGTGTAAGGTTGGCTTGAGTAGGGAGGCTACATTTGTTTTTGCTTAAGAAGGGGGGCGACAGACCTGGGTTTGAGTAGGGATGCAATATTCGTTTTGGCCTGAGTATAAAGGTAAATATATGTCTTGACCCGAGTAGGGAGGTAATATTTGTTTTGGTCTGATTATAGAGGTATATATATATGCGTTGGTCTGATTATACAGGTAAACACCATTGACGGTTTGAATAGGAAGGTAATATTTGTTTCGGTCTGATTATAGAGGTAAATATATGTTCCGATCTGAGTATACAGGTAAATATATATTTGGCCTTAATGTACAGGTAAATGTCCTTTTTGGTTTGAGTATGGGGGTAATATTTGCTTTGGTCTGAGTATACAAGTAAATATATATTTTAGTTTGAATAGGGAGGTAATATTTGCTTTGGTCTGATTACAAAGGTGAATATATGTTTTGACTTGAGTAGGCAGGTAAGACTTGTTTGGTCTGAGTGTAAAGGTAAATACCTGTTTTGGATTGAGTAGGGAGGTAATCAAATACTGCTACTCCTGTTGTTTCACTACCAGTACCAGCTGTAGTTGTTACTAAAAATAGACAATGATGTAACCTTTAATTGTGCTGATTGTGTGAAGCGTTGGCCTTTATATCTTCTTATCCTAATGACCTAGACTTTCATTTTGGATTGACAGATATATATATCTAAGCTGTGACCTGCTTTCTGGTTTGACCTACATGTGTCTTGACCATATGACCTACTTTAAGAACTGACCTACATGTATCTATGACCTATGACCTACTCAAATGACCTGCATTTTGACATCAGTTTGACATTAGTTTTGGGTTACTGATATTGAATGTTTACCTGCAATTAAAGGCTTAAGCTCATGCCTGACTGGAAGGCCTTTACCAATAGGGGCGTTGACATAATCTAACAGATCCGCCTCTGGGTCAGTGGAGTAAAGGTTGGCAGCTTTACAAGTGTCAATCACAGAGCCTCCGCCCACTGCTACAAACACATCAAAGTTCTCTGCTTTGGCAAAATCTATTGCATGTTTGAAACTGAAAAATAATGATATATAGTACTTTTAATAGGTCTTAAGAAACATATTGGTTTCATTTCTTTTGGACAGAATATCAAAACTGGACATTTTATGTTCCAATTCAACATGACTGGCAATTAAAATCAGCTCAACAGTCCAGCAATGAGCTCCAAAGATCCAAAGATTTTACCTTTCATCTGTGGGTTCAACTCTAACCTTATCATAAATTTTGTAAGGTACATTGGCTCTCTCTAAAGACTCCATGGCAGTTTTTACTGGAGGCAGATTCACCAAGTTGCCATCAGTCATCAAACAGACTTTCTTAGCTCCTAAATTCTTACAATCCTGAAAGGTATATCAAGCATGTGGAGTAAATCACCTAAAGGATTGCTTAGAGCAGGCCTGTGCAATCTACGACCAGTCGGCCAACCATAAGGCAGTGGTTCCCAATCTTTCTCAACCTTAACAACCCTGGAATAATCATTTAAACCTTTCACACCCCCAAAAGTTTGTTTCATCCACATTTCCAGCATGTGATGATGTGAGGTGCTCTCTCAATTCAAAATAAATTCTTCTCCTACACCAGTTGGCCACATCCCTGACACCCTAGTCCCACACCAACAGGATGCTCAGTCATACTTACCATTCCAACTTCTTGTGTGCATCCTGCACCATATCGAACACTGGAACAAGCCATCTGAAATTAGGACATAAGTATTGAATAATAAGTGAGAGAACTGTTTGGAAGTTGAAAGTTGAAAGTGAACAAGTGGGCCGCTTTAATTTATTAATTTAAATAGATTCAGTTATTGATAGGGCAAAATACGTTTTTAAATATGAATAATGCTAATGAAATACAATATGGTGAATGAAAATATTCATAGGCTATTTGAATATCAAACTGTTTCAATATTCATATATAATTTTAAATGGGAAAGAAGGCAATATCTTCATGAACTCTTGTGCCCATGACTTAACTGTTTATCAATTGGATTGGAAGGGCTTTTAAAACTCTTGGAATAAGTGAACTAGTAAAACACATACCTCAAATGCATATTCTTTAGATTTTCTATTAGCACTTGTGGAAATATTTTCTGAAATAAAAATTTATTGAAACCATAAATAATATTGAAATATTTTCACTGTTAAAATAATGCTCAATACATCAATTGTAGAGAGATATAGAAATATTAAAACAGAACCTAAATAAACAGATGATGTTGCACGCTATGCAATATTCAAGAAGACTGACCTATTTTCAGACTAGATTTTATGCAGGGCTGATAGCATCAATTACATAAGCTTGTTATCTGATATTGCAAAAGTGTCCAGTCATTCTGTTAGGACAACTTTGACTGTTGTAATATTTAACAAAATGCAAGAAATTTGCTACTTACTAATTGCATTTCTGGACAGAGTGCTCCTGGAAACAAGAAATAAAATGTGTTTTTCAAATAAGTCAAAATATATCCATCAAATAAGTCAAAATATATCCATCAAATAAGTCAAAACATGTCAATCGAATAAGACAAACTATATCAATCAATGAATCAAAACATGTCCATCAAATAAGTCAAAACATGTCAATCAAATAAATCAAAACATGTCAATCAAATAAGTCAAAACGCGTGCATATAATGATTTAAATGACTTGTGCTTATGAAATTCTGTATCCCTCTATCCTTCTTATCTTATCTATAGGCCTAAATAACACGTCCACATATTTTCTTACGATTTTTTTTTCTGATGATTTGAGTTTGGAGTTCTGCTTACCATGCACTTGTCGCCTGCTTCACCAATCTTGTACTTAGAGACATCTTTGTTTCCCGACAACTCCTAAAACTAACTGTATCAGGAGTTCGTTTCTTTTTCTCCCACACAGTCCACGGCTCAGCTGGCTAGTCTGTGTAAACCACTGACAGGACAGCGATATCTAAATGAATCTACACCGTTCTTGACCTACTTGTAGTCTCCATCATCAAGATGTCGTAAATCGTTAAACGAACGAAGGGTTGGATAACCAATGCTATATTTTTGATTGTCAAGACATATTGTCCTGTGAAAACTTCAATATAAATCTGGATGATTATGATCCTGTGACTACATTTGATAACAACGACCGAAGTTGTAGCCTTTATAATCCAGTACCATTAATTGTCTATGTATTGAAGAAGACAGGAGAAGTCTGGGTTGTCCGAGATTAATAAAGTTGGGATTAATTCGGTCATCACCGATATGGATACGGTAAACGCACTTACACCTTGCGAGCTTATGGTCGAAGATAAATAGTAACGTAATCTTTGTGTCAAGGAATGTTTGTTCAAACATCACCCCACAATACGGTCGAGTGAAGGGACGAGTTTTGTTCAAGGTCCATGCAGCGCTCATTGACCCAAACACGTAAGTTGAAACCTTAGCTTTCGAGAAACTCCCCCTTGGCTGAAATTAGGCATACTGAATTTCATAGTTGATAATTATTCTGTCAAAGAAGGTAGTATAATGGTATGACATGAAGAAGCATGTTTTGGATTGGATATGTAGGTAAGAGGATGATACAACAACTGGAGGTGATTTTTAGGGATACTTGCTAAATTTTTGTTGCTTTCCCAGATAATACGAACCCCATTTCACCCATCTGTTCCCTTTCCAGAATTCAATTTCTGTCATTCAGTTCTCTTACATTTCAACAAAAATTATCATTGATTTAAATCAGATGGTAATCTATGGGAAATACCACTGTATTTTCATTTTAAATTTATTTAAGTTTGGAGAAGACTGGCAACCATCTTGCTGTCAAATCTAAGGCCATAAACTATCCTTAGTACTAACTAAGTCTAAGCAGGGTATTTTGAAATAAACTTAGTAGGTTTAAAGCTTGAATTTCACATTGTGAAATCTTTAGCAATAGTTAAGATAACATTTTGTGATAATTTTGAGATTGTCTGAAGTGTTTTTGTTACACCTTTTTTGTTCAATGTACTGGTACAATTCTTTAGGCTTATAGTTGGAGAGGTTAGTTTTATTCACCTTCATCAGTAAATGATGCGCAAGGATTCAATTTTTTTTTAGTTGGTTATAGAACATATACATAGAACTGAACATGATATAGGTCAGTTTTGTATATATCAATAACCATCTCTTCTACCTTGAAACATAATGACAAGCAGCTTGGCAATTCGGGACTTTGAAAAAAGCAAGATCAGCAAGCTTTTGGACTTGATATCTTTTTAATTTCAGCCTAGAAGCACCAGAAACTTTCCAAATGGCTCACAGAATTCCTCGAGATCAGATCACAGGAACTGGAGACCTTGCTAAATTGGTCGAAAACGAAATACTTCAAACAGATCTTGAAGCCCAGAATGATCTGGGACATTGGAATCAAGACCAGAATTTGCATGGAAATCCCATTAATGTTGCAGCCTTACCCCAGCAGGTGCCCATTCAAAGAAGTACCAGTACACCTATTCGAAATAGAAATATTGAGGCATCGTCTCCCCAGCAAGAACCTATACCTAAAAATGCTTCTGCCCAAGATGACCGCAGACCAGGTGGTCACCCCATGTTTGGTTCAGTCAGACCCCAAGTGAGGGAAAACAACCATCAGTATATCCGAGGTATAAGTTTGTTGACTGGCACAGATTGGTCTAACAGAGAGGCTTTGTAAGTGTGTGACATTTTTTAATTTAACCCTTTGAACATTAGATGTAAATGAAATGAAATATCTGCTATATACCCTGAAGGGGTTGTAAAAAGGTTGTGTAAACTTTTTACATGTTTATATTTATTGGGAACACAGATACTGGGTAGTATAGATCTGCACCATTCCAATTTTCTGTCAGATGTCTGTGTTTCCTGGAATTCCATAAAGCTAAGCATTTATGAAGTTGTTAATGATATCTGAGAACCTTTGTGATAGTGATGTCATCAAACTCATAATTTTAGTGAAAGATGCAAGAACCACAGGTGTTTGATTGAACATTGGAATGGCACCATTTTTTTTAATGATACACATACATTCAAGACAATATGACCTGTCTTTGTATTTTGTCAGCTTTATAGCTAGGCTACATTGGTATTCAGGAATGTCATTAAAATGTGGTTTGAATCAAATGTAGTAGACCAGACTGTCATTATATTTTCTTGATGTGAGCCACATGTCAAGTCATATTTTTCATGATTTCATATGGTTGGCCTGGTGTGGCCTGGCATACAATCCAATTTCAGTAGCCCATTAAGATGGGAATAAGTAGGGCATATGACATGATTCATTAGCCTAATTCATTTCAAAAGTTCAATTAATTAAAGAGAAAGAGATCTACAATTTCATTTCATTAGCTCAATAGTTTTTCAGTGGTTGGTAAAATTTCATTTCTTTTTTTCAGACAGAATATCCTGTTCCAGCAGGCTTCACCAGATAGATTCATGGCTTCACAAGGATCTCCATACATGAATAACCTCATGGACATTGTGCAATCCACAGATGATGGAATGAAGCAAAAGAATATCAGACTGTCGCGACGATTACCTACATGGGCGTGGTACCTGTTGGCTAAATCTTTAGGAATTCCTTTACACGAAAATGAAAAGCCGATTCTAGCAACATTTCTTCATGTGATAACTATGATCATTGCTTTTCTGTACGCAGTTTGCGGAGCGTGGTACAATGTGGCCGATATTTTGAGTGAATACTCCAAAACAACTGTTTTAATCGGAACTGTGGCCATCATGTTAGGAATAGCTTGGATAACTATGGGGATCTACGCCCACAAACTGGCCCGAAGACTCTTCAGCAATAAGAATTTTGTAGAAAGTGTTCGCATGCATTCCAAGACCTTCATGAAAGTCAGCACCGTTGGTTTGCTGATTCTATTGAGCTACTCCATTATTGGGATTTATAGCTATGACGCCTATGACAGATTTGTCCTTAACAGCACGGCCTGTTCTAATGCCAACACCTTTCCAGAGATTTGCTTAGTGATGTATGGAGCCATGCTGACGTATTCTCTGGTCTGCGTAACATGGAATATTTTAGTTGGCTGTGTTTTGTTGTCTGTTTGCCGCACGCACACTGTCAGTAAGTAAGCTTATTTATGGAATAATCAGAGCGGAGAGTCCACAAGCTAGGTCTGGAGAAGGATATATCAATTGTGCAACGATAGCAGAAGTTTCAGTGATAATGGTCCAAACCATGGAGTTAACCTCCAAAAGGTCCATGAGAAACTTTCGCTAAATTTATATCACATATGAAGACTCATTTCTTCTTCTCCACCCATCTCCCAAATCCTTTTAGTTCTGCCCTGACCTCTAAGTTGTATGCTTGTCATGGTATATTCAAACACTCTTTCCCCAATACTAATTTAGCTTTTCTGTCCTAGGTTTAAGACGGTTCATGAGAGAGCTGTCTCTAGATGGCAAGGTCTATGAAATGAATCTATCAAACGAGAGCCAGGAATTTCAGGATCCACATGCACCAGACATAGCTAATCTGGAAAAACTCTGTCAATATGATGGTAAGTTCGAAACTCCTGATGGTATTTCTCTTTCGAGGATTCTACTACTATACAACTTTTTCTCTTGATTTTTACCATTCGTTGGATTAACAAAATTGTCTTGCTTGTACACATTTCTGTTAATGTCATTTTCTGTCCATTTTCAGATGATTGGTTTGCTTGGGATGATCAATTGAATCAAGATCATAAAAGCAATGAGGTGACATCCCAGCACATATTTCTGGAGAGTATCCAAGGCTCAGAGCCCAGTAATACCTATACCCCTTCCAGGAGAGCTTCTGACACCTCCATGTTTTCCCGGAGGAACACTGATATATCCCAGCCTGATCTGTCCAGAAGAGGATCAACAGGGATTATGAGAACTCCGAGAACTTTGAGACCCAACTCTTTCTCACGCCAAAACTCCACCTTGGATGATATTGTTGAGGGCTTTCAAGAGGTAATTTATGAATTGATTACATGATCAATATTCATTGAGCCTGTAGGAGACATTCTATGAGACTTGTCCCCCTGTGGACTCTCTGAAAGATACCAAAGTGACAAAACAAATTAACTATGTGAACAAGGGTTGAACTTTTTGAACAAAACCTGTCATCCTTGATAACCATGCAAAAGTCTTAGTGATATTTTGTTAAAAATATGCCCATCATTTTGTTCCATTTTTTGGGTATTTTTAGGCGAATTTGAAAGAGGAAAACAAAGATAATGACTCCAGCCCAGAATCAGATCACATGCCCATAACCGAAGAAACTCAAACAGAGGGAGCCTTTGATCCTCCAAAGGATGAGCAGCCTCCTTACGAAGAGTCTGAAGCTTCTGATGATGACCCTGAGAAATCTCCTTCAGCTCCTTTTCATTCTCCACAGATTATGCCCAATGCCAATCTCTTATTCTCCTATTGGAAGTTAAGTGTAAGTACTATATAATTGCGAATACAATACGCACGTTATATAATACGCACCCTGTCTATTCCTCTTTTAGATTTGTAAAAATCTTTTCATGGTGTGCATCATTTCTGGAAGAAATACCAAGGGTATCAGATTATTGGGCTGCATTTTTGTTGGGTTTCAGTCCATGTTGCATCTGAAATTTAATGAATATTAGAAGAGTTTGCTCTGAGGTTGATGGGTGAAGAATTGTTAGCTTTCACCCAACGATTCTCCAATTCTATTCTTCAAATTTCAGCAAAGGTTGACAGTAACTTCAAGGTACCTCCAAAGATGGCTGTCGAGTTGGATTGCCTTCATAGTAATTTGGTGTGGAGACTACATCGTGTATTGGACAACCCATGGCGCCACTCTTCCAGGAATCTTACAATTTATTCTTCCATTGTTCCTGCTATTGATCATCACTTCTGCTTATGCTGAGGTCAATTCTGAGGGGCAAAGACTCTTGAGGGTAAGCAATGTTTATGTTGGTGGAAAATCTTAAAGTAAGTGGTAAAGAAAAGAGTTCATTCTCTATAGAATCTGGAGCTTATTCTTTAGGGTAAGCAGTATCCAAAATTCCTTAAAGCACCTAGACCAATGAGTCGCTAAAAACCAGCCATCCAGTCATAATTTCTGAAATGTGGCCAATCATTTTTGTATTTCATTTCAGTGTATATGCCCTACAGAAGAAAGAATATCAATACTATTCTTCATGTATCAGCAGCCAATACAGATGCAAGTCTTTAGTTTTGCTGTCTCATATAATGCCTTATTAGGAGTGATCCTGGCTTTCTCTGTGGCCTTTTCATCCAGAATTATTTTGGATGAAGCTTTGAAGTAAACTCCACTGGAAACTTTCGCCCCAATATTAAAAAGTATTTGATCATTTGAAATATTTTTCAAAGAGCTACAAATTGTTTGGTGATTGGGCTAGTATGTGTCATTTTGTGCAATATAGATCCATGGCTTTAAATGGCTTTTTATAAAAACCACTCTGTGATGAGTTTTTGGCTTTTGAACCAAGCCACATATTTTGATGATTGAATATACTCAGAAGTAATGCAATATAATACAAAAGCTTGCCTTGAAGATATATGTATGTATATCATGTTTGACTGTTGTATTTGTGTTGTTATGTATATATCTTGTGTTGTTATGTATGTATATTGTGTTGTTATGTATATATTGTGTTGTTATGAATATATTGTGTTGTTATGAATATATTGTGTTGTTATATGTACATTGTGTTGTTAATGATCCCATAGTGCTTTGTATTTTTGATACTTGCAATTTTTATATTGTGATATTATATTATATTCCACATAAAGGTTATATTTTCTCCTAAAAAATTATGTTCTGAAATGCTATTAAATCTTATATTCTTTGCTATATGTGTTATCTCTTTGGGATTATGGGGATATTCTGTCTCTTGCTCTCAGAAATCTAGAGAACAATTCAATGGTACAGAATTTATTGATTTCCGTTTGTATTACATGTGGAATATCATAAGAATTTGATCCCGTCGTCGCACGTCGGTCGGATTAAAGTGGAATCCCGGTGTATTTCAATTGTATAAGGGGCATAACTCTAGACGTATTAATTAAAGTTGAGACCACAATACAGTGTATATGATAATTTTGAGACCGCCGACTGTTCAATACGAAGTAGTCAATGTTTCTACTATAATCGAATGGTGAATTACCTTTTAGTATAAATTATAACCAGGCCCTTTGTACCTGTTGAAAATCGAAAGGTGTTTTGCTTATTCGTAATAATTTGCCATTGTATTCGTTCATTATATAGGCAATGAATATATTAGAATTTATTGGGTTGTTGACAAGGAGAAATTCATGTCATAATCGAGTTATGGAAGCTGAAAGTGGACTCACGAAAATTAATCTTGAGGTTATAAAAATTCGAGTGATATGATATAACAGATACAAATCTTTTGCTATGGAAGCTGAAAGTGGCTTAACTTCTAAACTTTGCAAAATTAAGAAGCTAATATGATATACTTAACGGAAAGCTCATTATTGCTCTATCAAGTATTATCAAATCCCCTTAAGCGTGTTTTAGAATAATAACAAATTCTGTATTTGCGATGGGAAGAAAGGAGGTCCATTTAACAAATGAACCCCTACGGAAGAGAAGGAAGGTCACCATTGACTCATTATGAACAGAAAGTAAAAAGGCCGCTGTGGCATACCATATAAACTCATGTATTTATTTTGTTGGACAGTAAAAATATAGTGCATACAAAATAGATATATCATTGTACGAAGTGTATATATCTCGAACAATGAAGCAAATATTATGAGTTAAACAATTTATGACTTTATAAATACTTCAAACTCGTTTGATTATTTCAATAACATTGCTCTATATAATGTGTTGTTCAATATTATATTAAAGGTGCGAACATCGGTAGAGACATGTTCACAATGTCCGGCTAGGTTGAATGGTTGGTTGATAACAAGTTAACGTTCGCTTCCATCGTACATCGTACCTATACGTTGACTGTAATATCCATTATTCTTTTATCATCGGATGCTGATATCGCAATCTAGGTAGTTGTTGGTAGTCGTAATAGTAGGTACACGTAGTTGGATTTGTTCAAATTGGATAATGCAGTGTTGTTGGTTTGGTTGTTAATGTCAAGCTTCTACGAACATCGTACCTATACGTGACTGCAATATCCAATATTCTTGTATCTCGTAGGCAGCGATTTGATTGGATTGTATCTCCAGCGAATATAGTCAATCAGAACACCCCACAGAAAGTCTGTAAACAATAAGCTAAAGTCTTAACCTAACGTTTCGACAATGATACTCTTGTCTTTTGATCATTGTTAACTATAAACATATACGTGTACATTAAGATTCCTAAGTTGTAAATCTTATTTACGCGGCTAGCCTCCTTTAAAATGTTAATTTTGAATATGTATCGATCTCAAGACGTTCCCTGTCTATGCATAGAGCTTATTTATTAGCATTTAGTCCACTGACAACAAAACAGTTCTGAGGTATTTTATAAGTTGTAAACACAACTGGTGAGTAAAGTATAATATGATATTTTGTAACAGATATTGTCAAATTGAATCTTATATTTGGTAACATTTTTGATTGATCGTGTATCTCTGCCGGCCCGTAGCCAGACTTGGTTATTCGGAGGGGCAAGTAATATATCCGAAAAGGGCAATGAGGAATGGTGTTAAGTTGCAGTAATGAAATTGGTCGGTTGTCAGAATTTGTCAGAATGTTTTCATGGGGAAATCCATTTTTCTGGGAGCCCCGCGATCCTCTCCGTATGAAATGCCTTGTCGTGTGTTACCTTTAAAAATGTAATCGACACGAATTTTTCGCTTGTATTTTGTATTGCATGAAGCTTTAGTAAAGCCGTTCATCGACCAACATTAATCAAATTATATAAGAATATCATTTGTATACAGACGCAATACGAATGAAAATTGACTGTTGAAAATTCAAAACATGCAGAGATTAGTCCAATAGGCGGATGAATTACTATTATGCAGCTATCATATACTGTCCATTGTTGAAGGTATAAGAATTCATTGAAGCGTCCAGCTGACAATAGGCGACTATGTAAATACAATTTAGATCATCCATATAGATAGGAGAATTGAAATTTCATCAAATAATAAGTATTGACGGGCGTGGTAATATATATTGTCTGAGCGAAATTAGATATTCATAGAGGGAATGAATAAATGAATGATTTCCAATGAATAACGTATGTTTATTGTATTTCAAGAAATAAATATATAGCCTATATCATCCTAAATTTATATAGCAGGTTTTGTAATAAGATCCACGAATTAAAATGAATGACCAAAACATTAATATTGAAGTAATGAAGCATTCTTGAGTAGGGCACACTTCAACTTATTTGGGACGGGATTAAGCAACCCAATTGACATAGTTAGGGTCTCAAACAGTAAGGTTTTTATTTATTAGTGTTGTATATTATTTATACTCTATTTTTGTAGTATTTTTATGACAAATCTTTATAGCACTCTAACTCAACAACTCTGTTTTCATAATTTTATCATAGGAATTTTCATTTTCTCCTCATAGATTTTTCAGAAAGTGTTTATGAATTTCATAAACAGACGCTCGCTAATTAAATAGGTTGTACTCGTTCTCTTAAATCATTTTATAAATGATGTTACAGGTTTTTCATTAACAATTTATTGGCCCAGATTTCTTTTGAATTAATCATGAGACTTTGACTTTACAAGAACACAGCCCCAAGCTCTGTGCCAGCGAAAGGTTGTGATGTACTTATTGATATATTAGACAGAAAACATGATTTGCCAATTCCAGGTTTAACGTTTTCATAATGATTTCCGGTTGTCATAGTACGTAAAACAGACTGAAAATTAAGGTTTTGTATTGATTTCCGTAATGTTATGTACCCAAGGATGCACCCGCTACATGGTTGTGATGTTCTCACTGACATATCAAACAGGAAACAAATGTTTTATCATTCCATTAATTTCAATTCGAAGTATAACGTTTTCATAATGATTTCCGGTTGTTATAGGACGTAAAAATGACCGAAAATTAAGGTTTTGTGTTGACTTTCTTATTATAAAGTTGTAAATTTCAACATGACGACTTGGCTAATACACAAGCATGCGAGCTCTCCAAGCTTACGCGCTTGTAATCAATTTGTATTGATAAAAACTAATTGGAAAATAGAAAAAAACACTTAATGGGTTCAATCAATGCATAAGGCTTCTTTTTATGTTCCACGTTGTTATGGAAATTTATTTTTAAAATGCAACATTTCGTGCATTAGAGTTACCTGCCGAGTAAAATTTCAATTTTTAATGATTTTAAAGTAAATGTCTACCGATTTTTAATTGCTCCTATTTGATTCCTTTTGAAGTCGAAGTCGAAATGATAAATCTACTTTGTCGAGTGTATAACATGTGGTATTTATAACCTGTTCATCGCAGACTGGCATGGATATAAATCATTAAATAATTCATCTTCGTCTTCATCCTTCATCACGAGTTTTACCAATGTTTGAAGCGTCTATTGACGACTGTTGTCAAGGGGTTAACGTATTTGACCTATGAATAAGCTGGTCAGAGGCGTAGCCTTTTTTTGATCCAGATAGAAAGGTGTTATGTTCCTTATTTACGGAAATCTGACAGTGAAATATGTCTAAAATTCCCCAAGTTAATGAGTTAACCTTTATGGTTTCAGTCCGATGGTAAGGACGAACCCTCCCGAACCCCTCTTCATGTCGACACCCACTGTATTTAGATTTTGGTTAATTTTTAATGAAGTCTATATTCTATGGAATATATAGGCATGAGTTTGAGTTGGGAAACATTATGTAGAATTCTACTGGTCTTCTTTGTTCTACAAAGTGGTACAATCGACGAGGAGGAACTTAATACGGGTCTCAAAGACCTTTTAATCATTGTTCACAAATGTGTTAACTACTTGGAAGATAACTTTACCTCATTATTCTAGAGTATTATCTTCGAAACGTCGTATCAGTTGTTTGCGAGAGTAATTATTTACCATGACAATGAGTGTCTCCTAGTGTGTATTTTTGAGGTGCTCATGGTGCCTATTTGATTGTTGATAAAGTGTGTTTAAATTCAAGTTATACACTAATGAAATGAATCATGCGAGGGATGAATTTATTAATAGAAAACATAGGATGTAAGTCTTCTTCTTCTTGTCATCTTCTTCCTCTTCCTTTTCTCCTTCCTTCTTCTTTTTCCTCTTCCTCTTCCTCTTCTCCTTTCTTCCTTCTTCTTTCGCTTTTTTTCCTTTTCCTCTTCCTTCCCTTTTTTCATTCTTCCTTATTTCCCTTGTTTCACTTATCTTTTTTCTTCTTATTCTTCTTTTTTCCTTCTTTTTCTTCGCTTATTCCCCTTCCTTTTCTTCGTCATCAAAGCATCCGTGGTCGTTGGGCCAAAGAAGAGAAAATCACAATAGGAGAAAATGTCGCCATTCCCTGACTTCCCCATACTAAATAACTGTGTTTTCTGCAGGCGGTGTAAAGAGTCTAGAGTCACCATGGATGAAGACGCACTGGAAGTAAAGGATGACTCTCGGCCGTTTTACAGCAGGAAAAATTGTAAGTTTTTTTAGTTTTAGAATCTCTTGGCCTAAAGTTGGGTTAAAGCCGAACGAATGTTTCTGTGAAATTTTACTAGGCTATCTCGTTCTCTGGGCGAAGCTCGAAGAGTGTTTCTGACTTTCGGCTACTGTCTGATAGAAAAGAAGGTCACAACGATATTTCAAAAGGATGACAATCAAGGATCCTTTCCACAAGCTGTTCCTTGGCATTGATCTTTCCTGGATTATCCGTACCCATCTTCAGCTGGGTCGACCGGAAAAGGAACCAAGTGATATTTTAAAAAGGGGATTTACAGCACTCTTTCAATTCCAGGTCGAATAGGGTTATATATTGACATTTATGATGCCAAACCAATAGATCCCACAGAGTTTGGTTCAGAGCAGTTCTTCCTAATGTCGCTCAAAGATAAAGTCGGTGAATATTTTGAGGAATTTGATTTGGTGAAAGCCAAAGGAATTCTTGAAAAGAAAAATGTCTTCAAAGGAGTGATTTTGGAAAAGTTTGACATGGGTACGTTCTGTCTATATAGTAAATAACATCTATTGGGCAATTGCTCCATTTGTGGTCAAGGCTTTCTTGAACTTATTAGTTCTTATATCTTGAATGTTATCAAATTTGAGTCCCACCATTACAGTACGAACAGTAGTAAGTGTCGCAAGTAAGGCCTACTCTTCTAGAACAACCGAAGACTCTCAGCGACTGACAGCGTTTGTCAACCCGACTTTTGTTTTGTTTTGTCTTCTATCGTACGTTAAAGATATCTCCGCAGTTGCAAATCGTAAGTGTAAGCTTATGCCGTTCTTTCAACGTTGGTCGTACACCATTAGTCCAATTAAATAAGTTGCAGAAGAAGTAAAATTCACTCATATGCTTATAGGTCTGGTTCTCACCCTAGCATTTGATAACGTAGATGCTCTAGACGCAGTTTGGAAGCTGTTTCAACCCAACAAGCTCTCAGCGTTGGTCAATGAGATGTTTCTGGACCAGAACGCCTTGAAGGCATTGGGGCTTAAAACGTTGACGCTTCAAGCCAGGCTGTGGGAGGATGAATACAACTATTGTCGTAACGAAATCCTTTCTGCAGGTCCAGCTCGAGTTAGCATCAAGAAAACTGGTAGGTAGCGTATGCTTTACTCGTGGGCGCAGGATTCATATTTGGGATGGCGAAGAATATTATCTACTCTTCTTGATGTTCTGATATCGTGATGGCTTCTCCCAAAATTCTCTTCAGAAGTTAAGTTGTATAACGAGAGTCCTTTGAAAGCGAGCGAATGATTTTGGTTTCCAGTTGTCAGGACTACCCTTAGCCGTTGACATTGTTTCAGTTTGTCGTAGACTTTTCTTCAAAATCTGTTCTTCTTTCCAGCAAATGGCATCAGCATGCTCAGAAGACTCCGAGAATCGCAGAAGATCTTACAGAATCACGTCATGAAATGTCGTGACCAAGAAACCGTATTTGACCGGAACTTAGGCGAGTTCATTATGGAGGTCAAAGGAATGCTTCCGGAAAACGTCACTTCCATCAACAATCTGAAAGAATTCGTGACGAATTTAAAAATGGCGAAGGGCACAAATCGTAAGGGGTTTCCTTACATCGAACAATACTTAATAACCATTGAAATGATTCGCGAAGCGTTTGCGGAACTAGAGTTCATCATTTTACATCCGTTAGCGCAAATCCATGCCGCATGTGAAACGGACAATCAGAGACTTCTTAAGAAATCCGTCTTCGAAACGCACACGGATATGACTAAACGTTTGAAGTCGGACCAGGATCTGCAGAAGATAGTCCACAAGGAATGGGAAAATAAGGTGCTATTCCGCGAACGGAAGCTGTTATTAGGTCTAGTAAGCCTTATACCTCTGAGTTTAGAGAAAATATTAGACATTGATCATATGGTGGACGAGTACATTACCAGCTACCCGGAGAAGCTGAAGATTTAGGTTATGGACTCCGTGGCAAGAACTCGCCATTTTCACAAGAATCTGTGCTTACATTTATGCTATATTTTAGGTTATCTATACCAGTTTGACTGAAAATACTACTACTACAGACTTTACTTTAACGAATTTGATTTACAAACAACATAAATGTCTGTCTATCATAGGCGTAAGACTGACGTTCCTTTCGATCTTTTATCTTAAAATTTCTGGTATATATATATCGTGTTTTGTACTGATAACTTTGGGCTCTTAATCATATTCCGTCCGTTTTTTTTTTCGTTTTTTTTGCTTATTTATTTTGATTATTTTTTCATTCCATTGTCATTATCGACGTAGAAGTATATTATATGAAAAGAGTTGACTGATTGTTTTCTTCTTTGGTACCATATTTACCCTATTATTGTACCAGCAAACAATGTCATCTGTATTATGAACAGGAGATGGTAAAATTAATCCCAAATCAATAGTCATCACCCTTGGTGGAAACCCAAATCAATAGTGTAAGCTATACATAAAAAAAAAACTGTACGTAATAAAGCATAAAACGACCAAAAAGGGCCTTCACGCCTTATCTACTTGGTCATAATCTCTGATAAGCGCCATTTTGTTTTGCCCTATTTTTGAAGGCATAGAATGAAGGCAGGATTTCTGGTTGTGTGTTGCCTCTGTGTTGTTGGATGCTATGGAAGTAGGTGTATTAAGTATATTTATGTAATTCGTAAGGTAAACTTGCAGTCCTCTCAGTAACGGACTATACCTTGGAGGTTTATGCCTTACGTTCCTGCGTCTTACTAGAGTAATAACATTACATTGACATGGTGTTCTCTATCATGAGTTTTGAGTTCTTCTTTGATGTATCTCTTTGTGTTTTGGCTATACGTTTTACATCCTAAAGTCCCGATGAAAGGGGCAATAACCCCAATCTACTGGCTAATTGGACATCCAGGATGTTGATTGCTATTTCTAGTATTTTACTTATGAAAGTCTAAATATATTACTTGTACGAGCATCCTCATAATTCTGTATGGGTTTATTTACTTTATTTTGAGACCTATGATATACGCCCATTCAAAACCCGTCAACATTTTTCGTGACGAATAAGCTTAATCAAAAACATTCCTTTTTAGATGAGGGTAGTACAAAAGGGAGACAATTCATGGTGACGTTCATGCACAATGGAAACAGTGACGTCAGTTCCGGTGCCAACTTCCTTTACGTCTCTCCCGAAGATGACGGGTCCTTCACGATCGACGCCCCTGGTCATTCTTCTGCTAATAAATTGCATAAATTTGTGCCCATTGATATTTTGGATACCAATAGGACCACGCAGTTCGAGATACCAGCTGCGTTAGAAATGTCCGCCGGAACGCTCATCGAACGTAAAGGAATCCTGGTTACATCGTATGGGAACCTCTCAGTTTACGCATTCAATGAAAACCAAGCAGCGAATAGTCAAGATGCGTACAACGCAATACCAATCGAGGCACTTGGAAAATTCTACTACGTTCCCACCGTACGCAACAACCCTGCGTTCACGGTTACGGCTGTACAGGACAATACCACTGTCAACATTACATTGAAAACCAAATGTAGCGTCGATTGGGAACAGAAAACGTACACTAATGGCGGAATTATCACAGTTCGTCTGGATATCTTCGAGGTTTTCCAGTTATCTCTGAAAGGAGCATGTGATCTTGGTGGAACCACGGTAAGCATGCTATCGCAGGATTAGGTGCCTTTGGGTTTCAGTAATACAGAAGAACCCCTCTCTCAGCTACTTTATTAATTTTAATATTTAGGGCAAAACAAAGTTTCTTTTCGATTTTTCACTACCGTACCGAATAATGCAAGACTTCAATTTTCATTCCAGGTATCGTCTGATCACCCCGTTTCTGTTACCTCCGGATCATCATGTGCAACCCTCAAGTCCGGCCAGACCTGTTCTCACGTGGTAGAGCAGTTGCTCCCAAACGAGCTCTGGGGCCGAAGGTTCATAGTTCCTAGTCTAGACGACATCAACGAGTCTAAGATCCGGATGATTTCATCCAAGGAGAGTCGATTCACCGTAGTTACAGAGCATCACAAAGACGGCACCTCCCACACCAGGACACATCCAATAGCTGGCGACCAGGCAATCGATATGGTCGTTCCTCCAGGAACCGTTACAGAGATCTTTAACTCTGAGAAACTTCATGTGACCAAAATTGGCTTGGGGAATAGTTCTTATATAATATCCATCCCACACGTTGATGGTTACGGTTGGAACTATACGGTTACTCCTTTGAACAACCAGTATGGAAACAACTACACCAACTACCTCAGTATTCTTGCGTATACTGATGCACTGGATTCGTTGACCATTAATGGCGTACATCCCGAGTACCATCATTGGAGAAGCGTTGTGGATCTAGGATACTCTCATGGAATTTTTCTCATGTCCAACGGTACCTCGTATCAGATTGAAGCATCTCATCCTTTCATGGCTCAAGCATTTGGTCACTCGTCGCACGGAGCTTATGCCTTCAATGCAGGGAGTAGATTTGACCATTTGCCTTCTGGTAAGTTCAGATAAGGACAGACGATCCCATTTTCTTCTCACTGTTGGAGATGCAGGTCACAGAAAAGTGCGTGTTTATGGTCTTCAATTAGATCATAAAGTAACAGGCCGCGTAGGCTTACGTTTAAAACATACCCCCTTGATGGAAATTGAAAATGAGTAGGCTACGTTTGAGCAGCTGTTCTGATGAAATTTCCATCCTTGCAAAGTAGATTTCATCCAATAATCTCATTTTTGATCAGAAAAATTGTACATAGGACCAAAACTTTTTTCATTTGAAATTTCTTATTAATTTTCAGGAGGGTATATGATCCGGCCAGATCAAATTCCAACAACGTCAAAACCACACACAGCAGCATCCCCGAACCCGACTTTTTCTCCGTCTACAACTTCCCTTTCACCCACGTCTACATCTTCCGCTTCATCTCCGTCTATAATCTCCCAAACGTCAACGTCTGCCAGCATTACCGGATGTAAAGATGACGTACCGAACTGCCAAGAAGTGGACAACACCCTCAACATTTGTAAAGAACCCGTTGCTGCGTATAAATATTGCAGAAAATTTTGTAAGCTCTGTGATTCCCCCGGTATTATCGGATAAATAGATCATGAAGCTCAATCCTTTTTTTACATAGATTTTAGTACAGAAAGCAGCAGACGTTTCTTTCTCTTTCCCTTTCATAAAGGGATAGTTACGAATCGATTTATTATGCTGCAATCAAAACCACAGACTCCAGGTAAAAAGCAGTGTGTAAGTCTTCTTGAAGACTGAAGAGTGCAGGGGAGGGCCTAAATCGCGACACAGTCATATGAGAAGAAAATTGTTTCTGGTCTTTCTTCGTGACCCAAATCTATTTGTAAAACGTGTGAGATAGTCTGGTAGTAAAAAAGTACGAAGTGCAAAAAGGTGGCGTTAAAATGACGTCATCGATGTTGACGTCACGGCTGTTGCTACATCGATCCGCCATTTTAAGTGATCTCTTGTCTAGCGGAAGTGGGATTTGATCAATTTTTGTTTCTCTTTCGACTGATCATATTAGGCTAAGCAAAAAAAAAACAGAATGCAGTATGCAGCTTGGGTATTGATCGTAACAGCCCTCTCTGTGTCTCAAGTATCATCAGAGTCTTGTGGATATGTCAATATTACCGATATTTCAACTGGCACCAATTTCTCATCAATCCTATACCCGGGTTACCCAAGAAAATATATGCCGTAAGTTTAGATATATTATTTTCAAATATACGGCCTAGATTTCTACAACATTTACGTCTAGATTGCAAATATTGGCTAATTTGTTGAGACTTTCCCGAAAACTAAGCTGACTTTCAGTACAATAATGGCGGCAATAACAAACAAACAATGTCTAGCTAGGCCTAACAAATATCAGGACAGAGGTCAAGGATGGTTATGATATTATGTTCATTTCATTTACAAATCAGAAAGAGCGTTACTATCATTTACTTGGGGTTTTTTTTTCGCAGGATGCTCGACTGTAAATGGACGATCGGACCTAGCTCTTCAGGGCAGGTAGTTGCCTTCGAATTTATTGATGCCAATATCGGAGATACTACAGATTGTAAAGAGTATTCTGTCAGTATCTACGACGGTAAGCGCTGTTACTTAGTTACAGTATTTTGATTAAAGTGATCTAGCGAGGTCGATTGCCAATGTGCCCGGTAAACTAACATTGATTTTCAGGTAGAATAACTGATTAATGAAACTAAGCATGCGAAAAGTAATAAAATCCGTCCGATCTTACTTTACTGTGTAATTGGACAAAAATTCTCTTTCTTGTTTATGTTTTTAGGAGCATATTCTGATAGTCCTCTTTTGGAGAAGATATGCGGATCGGACCTTCCAGAGCGGGTAACCAGTAGCGACTCTTATATGTTTGTGAATTTCAAAACATCTTCTTCTGACTTGCATTTAGGCCAGGGATTTAGGGCCACAGTTTTCGAGGTACCCAAACCCACCACTCCCCCACCCACGACTACGGGACCTACGACCACTCCTAATACTGCCGAAACTACCATCGAGCCTACAACTACCACGGAACCTACAACTACCACGGAACCTACAACTACCACCGAGCCTACTACTACCTCTATTACTTTTGGAACATCCACTGCTCCACCTGGAACCACTGGAATCAGTTCAAGCGGTAAAATTGACCGTTGATAAACCCCAATCAGAAGCTGTCTCTATAATCAGAGAATCCAATCAAAAAGTTTATACTTTTTGTGAAAATGTTGATTTTTTTTTCGATTCTATGATTATTGAGATGACTCGATCGAGGGATTCATACAATTTACCAAGAATTGTCACAATTTTAATTGATTCGTCATCAAAAATATTGTTGCAGCACATTTCATATTACCTTTTAAGCTATATCAGTGATAAATTTTATATTGAAACGTTTTTCCACTCTGAATAATGTGGTTTACAAGTTCAGTTATAATAATAATTATGATAATAAGCTCTTTATTTGGCTAACAATTGGGCGTAAAGGCCTGAACCATGGCTCAAACATTAACTTTGTTACATCTTGAGTTATCACAAACTTATGGCATATTTAATTTAATTTCTGTTCTACAGAATCTGAAACTGGCGTTTCAACTGATGTGATCATAATCATCGCCTGCTCAGTCTTTGCCGTCGTTCTGTTCGTTGTTGTGGGCATTGTCTGTGGCCATAAAGCCTGGACCAAGAAGATTAGAGACGGTGTGTCGCGTTTAAGTGCCAACCCAGAAAATAAAGTTGGTAAGTTTGGTCGGGCAGAAATATTTTGATGTAAAACATACTCGAGTAGGCTTAGTGGCTTAACTACTATTGGGACTCGTTGAACTAAGATCCCCCCCCCCCCACACACATCTCTAAGGAGTTCCCACTCCCCCCAACCATGCATATAAACATAACACAGCATAAAGAAATATTCCCCGAGAGAGGGGCCTCGATCGCATTAAAACCACGGGCCCATCCCCCTGTGCGAAAAACAAAACCAGTTCTTAGCCTATGTTGAATGATTCAATTTGCTTTTCAATTCAGCTCCAGTGAATAGTGAGCAAAGTTTTCCAGTTCTACCAACCAAACCGGTATTGGTGGAAGAAACTCCCAAATCTGATGCATAGCCACCTGGTGATAGTAAAACAGAGGAAACTGGTCAAAACTAACGAGGCAGTGTAAAGAAAGGAAGAAGTTTCCCTTGGCCATGTATAATGACATATTGTGCTTGTAATTTTCTGGATCAATAATGAGTATTGCCTACCTGTAGTCTTGTAGAAATACTCATACTCGTTCATAAGAATTAAATTTTTAAATTTTCTCAAAAATATCGGTTGTAACTGTCAGATTTGAAAGACGAAAGGCTATAAAGAGTGATCTATTGTCTATACTCACTGAAACATTCAGAATAATCGTCAGCCCGTTAAAGATCTGCTGTTAAGATCTGCATTTGAATAAAATTTCCATATTCTGTACCTTTCTACAAATGGCTTGTGCTGGGCTTTCCTTTATAATATATTATTAAGAGTGCAGAGAGGTCGCAATGTATCTTTAAGTAAACGTCATGCTGAATGACGTCACGACTGTAACTAAGTCTTTTCATCCAAGATGGCGGCTTCCTTTACAAGTTTAAATGAGATTTAGATCACTAGTTTTACGACTTGGTCTCTTTTTTGACATCTCAATATGTAAGCCGCAAATGATCATAAAATGAACCGGGTAGCTTGGATATTGATATCGACAGTCTTTTTGGTGTCACAACTAGAGTCGGCTTCTTCAGACTGTACTAGAATCTCCACGATAACGGCGGATGCTACCGGCGAGTATTTTTCATCGTTCATCGTTCATTTTCCCGGTGATCGGAATTCATACTCAAGGTAAGTTCATTTTGTGGTTTGTATTTTTATGCTGCAATAGTGGAAAGGATCGCTGATTCTACTCTAGCCCCGTCGACAATCGTTATCGTTAGATCAAACCCGAACAACTTGGCCTAGATTTTAGCCTAATAAAAGGCCTACTTTTGGGTAGCATTATTAGTAGGCATCGTGTAATCAGCATACTCAACTAGTCAGAACTTTATTTTTTTTACTAACGATGTCCCTAAGAACTTAAAAAGTTCCAAAAATTACACCATTCAAATTTATTTCTGCTTCCAGAAATTTAGAGTGTAACTGGCGGATTCAAACTGCTGATGCGGGTCATCTAGTCGTCCTTAAATTTAATGAAACTTCCATTGTAAATTCTACAGATTGTGACAAGGCTGCTGTCAGTGTCTATGATGGTTGGTATTGTGCCTTACTTGCTTTTACTATTAGGCCTAGGGCCTTGTCGTAAAAATTTTAGACTTTAACGGTAACGGACATTAGGCCTATCTTAGTTAGGCCTAAATCTTTTATTTTCGTTGCTCTATCCGTCATGAAATCTTCCTTAAAAGTATTAAAAGAATAACATATTTTCAATATTTTTTTTGTTTCAATTTGAAAATATCTGCCCGGATATTTAAGTACCGTAACGTATTCTTTCCAGGCCCATCTCTTTCAAGCCTTCTTTTGATGAAGTCATGTGGTCCAACAACACCGTCACAGATAGTCAGCACGGGCGATACAATGTACGTGAAGTTTAGAGCTAATGATGGTTTGAAAAACCAAGGAATTCTCGCCAGAGCTTTTCAAACACCCGCACCTAATTCTATTTCTACCATTACCGCTACTTCGAACATTACCTCCGATGATACTACGACTACAATCACCACAACTACTACGACAGCGACTACCCCTACTACTATTACTACAACCGTTACAAAAACGATTACTGTAGCTCCTGCCATTACTCCTATTAAAATTACGACTAAGAATACTACTACGTCTACGACTACGATTACTGACACGCCTACTTATACTATCACTACAACTACCACAACCAGACCAAGTACTACGTCTACACCTCGCACAACTACATCTACAACTACGACTACCAATGCTGCTCCGACTAATGACACAGCAGAGTACAGTACGTCTACATCAACCACTTCTTCCATTGTAATCATTAGCACCCCTACTACAACTACTACCACTCCATTTACTACTACTTCCACTGCTGCTGCTGCTGATGATGATGCTACTACCATAAATACCACTCCTATAGTCACTGATGCTACTTCTGATGTTCCTGGTGATGATGCTACACCAACCGAAACTCTTCGTTCTGGAAATGATGGTACACCTACCGATACCACTCCAAGTGATTCTGTCGAAATGAGGCATATGGCTGATGCTGAAGCTGAAGCTGATTCTACAGCTGCTAGTACGGCTGTCGATGAAACTCAAACAGATTCTTCCGATACGAGTCATATGGTTGAAGATGGTAGTCATACGCAAGCCTACCATACTACTCCTGCTGGTGTTGATGCTGGAGCTGATTCTACAGCTGCCAGTACGGCTGCCGATGAAACTCCAACAGATTCTTCCGATACGAGTCATATGGTTGAAGATGGTAGTCATACGCAAGCCGACCATACTACTCCTGCTAGTGTTGATGCTGAAGCTGATTCTACAGATGCTAGTGCGGCTGCCGGTGGAACTCGAACAGATTCTTCCGATACGAGTCATGTGGTTGGAGATGGTAGTCATACGCAAGCCGACCATACTACTCCTGCTAGTGTTGATGCTGAAGCTGAAGCTGATTCTACAGATGCTAGTGCGGCTGCCGGTGAAACTCGAACAGATTCTTCCGATACAAGTCATGTGGTTGGAGATGGTAGTCATACGCAAGCCGACCATACTACTCCTGCTAGTGTTGATGCTGAAGCTGAAGCTGATTCTACAGATGCTAGTGCGGCTGCCGATGAAACTCAAACAGATTCTTCCGATACGAGTCATGTGGTTGGAGATGGTAGTGATGCACAAGCAAACCATACTTCTCCTGCTAGTGTTGATGCTGAAGCTGAAGCTGATTCTACAGATGCTAGTGCGGCTGCCGGTGAAACTCGAACAGATTCTTCCGATACGAGGCATGTGGTTGGAGATGGTAGTCATACGCAAGCCGACCATACTACTCCTGCTAGTGTTGATGCTGATGCTGAAGCTGATTCTACAGCTGCCGATGAAACTCAAACAGATTCTTCCGATACGAGGCATATGGTTGAAGATGGTAGTCATACGCAAGCCGACCACACTACTGCCGAAGCCGACCCTGTCGATACTGGTGCCGATAATCCCCCTATTCCAAATGGAACTACTACCCCAGTTGCTGGAGGTGATGCTACCACGCAAGTGGACAACAGCTTCTACGAATAGAACAGACTATATAATTCCGTGTTGCGACACTGTGGGTAAGTTCAGACCATGCATACTTATTTTGCATTTTCATGATTCATCAACTATCGAAAATCTAAAAGAAAAGGCTAATACCACCGTCTTGGTGAATTTTCCCTCCTTGCACAAACCGTAGTGTGGTCTATCAATTAAAAAGTTATCTTTTCATTTTACAGGCTTTACAGAAGCCTCAACCGAAATTTCATATACTATGATCATTTCCGCCGCCTCTACAGTTGGCGTTGTTGGTCTGTCTACCGCAGGGCTTGTGTACAGGTTTCATAAAACAATATTCAGTAAACTGGGCATATTTGAAGGCGCTAATGCAGCAAATAAAGTTGGTAGGTAACGCTTTCTATCCTCATGTTCAGGCCACGTATTCTCAAAACGACCTTAGCGCTAAGATTGTTCAGAGATACGTTACCAGGTTTTTTCCCAAAACAGTAGCTGCTCTGGTGATGATGTTCTAACCACTCTTCGTCAACTTATTGTGTCGAATAGGCCTATAGGCTACAGTATCAAAGAATGAGGCCACTGATAGTTTAGCTGAAATTAACCTGTATCTGTTACAATAGAACTCATTAAGGTGATTATAATCCGTTTAACTCTTTGCCTTTTTTCAGGACCATCGAACAACACCGATGAAATTGAAATCGAATCAGAAAACCCCGATTCAGATCCGGGTTTGGACCAAGACACAAACACAGATGATACTGGGGTTGACACTTGACGAAGTCGGGTCCAGAATCTTTGTGTTAAAGTGGAAGTGTGGAGAAGCTTCAAAAGAATATCAGGAGCTGTCTTATTGTGGACACGAATCATTGGTTAAATGATGACGTTGATGCCATTTTAAATTTTGTACTGACTTCAATCGGGAGTTATTTTTGTGGTGAACTCTACTTGAACTATTTTATTCATGATCTTGTTTTCATTTCTTCATTCTTAACTGAGACTATGTTGTTAACTTTTCAAAATAAGCTCACAGCTTCCACCGTGTGTCTATGTTTGAGAGCTAAAAAGATTACAGTTTGGTGTAAAGAAAAGTGAAATATGTTTTTATGTTCTTTATTTGCAACATGTTTGTTTTTATATGTAGAAAATGTCTATTTTTTCTTTTTTAATAAATTGGGACAGGCTACCCTAGGTCAAGCTAGTCTCTTTTGTTTTATCTCTCCCCAAACAATTCCAATTCCAATGAAGGGGGTAAACAAACGGTCTACCGTAAAATTTACGCTGATCGCTCTGGAACAGATGCAGCTTGTACGGGAACTGCCGAGGATTGCCGAATGGGGGAAAAGTACGTTGCAGCCTAAATATAGCTCATAACGTCGCCCCGAATGACGTCACTTCTGTTGCTAGGCTGACAAATCCAATATGGCGGATTCTTGCAAACGTGGAAGTGGAATCGTTTCACATTTTTACAACCCGCTCTGGTCTTGTTTTTTTGACGTTCCTTATATGGTGATATAATGAAACTTACAGAGAGGATAATATTGATATGGACCGTGTTCCTATTCCACCTATTGAACATTGCGTCTTCAGGCTGTGTAAGATCAAGGACGTGGAAAATTTCCACGATTACGGCTGATTCCACTGGCGAGTATTTTTCATCACCTTATTTCCCTGGTTACAAAAAATCATATTCATGGTACGTTGCATTCATTTTGTGTGATAATGTAGCTTATATGAAAGAAATGGTGTAGGAAATGCCTCCTGTCAGCAGCTTATGAAGAGAGCAAGTCATAGACAGGTTCCCCCCTCGATCGACAATGCAAATATCTAAGTAGGCCTAGTGGCAGTCACGTGTTACAAGATATAACAGATGGTTGCATACAGAATTACCTTCCTTGGCATACCACATGGCCTAAGTAAACTATTTTGTATCCTAACTGCCTAATCTAAGTTAAATGTAAGGCCTGTGACAAGGTCCTTCAGTACCAACGTTACGGTGATTATCCACATCTTTAACTGTAGTAACGATACGTGTACTCGGTACAGGTGCAAAAGGAACACGGGCTTTTGTATGCCAGTGACAATTGTTGTTTATTTTATACTTTTTGTTTATTTTTCTTTAGGAGCTTAAATTTCAGATGGCGGATTCGAACAGCCGATACCGATCACTTATTGGTGGTGGAATTTATTGAAACTTCCATTTTCAGTTCTCCATATTGTGACAGGAGTGCTGTGAGTGTCTATGATGGTAAGCTCTAGTTCCAATTTTTGTCACAATCAAACCAAGAGTCCTTTCGGAACACCATAGTCATTCTACGACAACAGTTAGCATTTTCTATAAGCTAGCCCGTTATCGATTATAAATTAGAGAAAACTTAGTCTTCAAGCCTACAAAAACTCTCAAAAATAATTTTAATTTTCAGGTCCGTCGATTTTTAGTTCTCTACTCATGAGTTCATGTGGTCCAAAAACACCGTCGCCCATAGTCAGCACTGGCAATACCATGTTTGTCCGCTTTAGAACTTATGGTTGGTTAAGGTACCAAGGAATTCTTGCCAAAGTCTATCAGATACCTCGACCCACTACTACGCCTTTTTTTACTACCACATCTCCTGCTGCTGGCCCTACAACTCCTGCTACTGGAACTGTGGATATTGAAATTGGAACTAAAGCCCCTGGTAATAGAACTGTAGAGGCTGCAACTGCAACGTCTGGTATTGAAAAAGCTGCTGATGCCAAAACAACTGCTACTAGACCTACAACACCTGCAACTTTTGCCTCTGGTTCTGCAACTACAACTACTGCTACGGTAAATGCAACTGTTGCTACTGCAACTAAAACTTCTCTAACAAGAATTGTAGGATTTGCATCTGCAACTACCACTACTACCTCTGATACTGCAAGTTCTACCCTTGCTACCGGAACTGTAGCTGCAATTCCTCCCACTACAACTCCTGCTACAGCAATAGCTTCTGTTGCTATTACAACTGCTGCCACTACATCTATTACAACTCCTGTTACGCCATCTACAACTTTTGCAACTACTACTACTAGCTCTGGTAGTGCAACTACTACCCCTGGAACTGTAACTGCAATTCCTCCTTCTACAACTACGGGAACTGCAACTGTTGCCACTGCAACTAACACTGCTCGAACAAGAATTATAGGATTTTCAACTGCAACTACTACTACCTCTGATACTCCAGCTGCAATTCCTGCTACTACAGCTCCTCCCGCAACTACATCTACAACTCCTGTTACTGCAGCTGTTGCCAGTGCAACAACTACCCCTGCTAAGGGAACTGCAGCTGTTGCCACTGCAACTACAACTCCTGCTACTGGAACTGCAACTGTTGCCACTGCAACTACAACTCCTGCTGCTGGAACTGCAACTGTTGCCACTGCAACTAGAACTCCTGCTACTGGAACTGCAGCTGTTGCCACTACACAACTCCTGCTACTGGAACTGCAACTGTTGCCAGTGCAGCTACAACTCCTGCTGCTGGAACTGCAACTGTTGCCAGTGCAACTACAACTCCTGCTACTCGAACTGCAGCTACAACTCCTGCTGCTGGAACTGCAACTGTTGCCACTGCAACTACAACTCCTGCTACTGGAACTGCAACTGTTGCCACTGCAACTACAACTCCTGCTACTGGAACTGCAACTGTTGCCACTGCAACTACAACTCCTGCTACTCGAACTGCAACTGTTGCCAGTGCAGCTACAACTCCTGCTACTCGAACTGCAGCTGTTGCCACTGCAACTACAACTCCTGCTACTGGAACTGCAACTGTTGCCAGTGCAGCTACAACTCCTGCTACTGAAACTGCAGCTGTTGCCAGTGCAACTACAACTCCTGCTACTCGAACTGCAATTGTTGCCACTGCAACTACAACTCCTGCTGCAAGAACTGCCACTATTGCAACTGCAGACTCCGGTACTACGACAACTGCCAATGCTACTAGAACTATTGTTACAATTCCCCCTACTACAACTACTGGAACTGCAAAAACAACTTATGGTATTGAAACAGCTACTGTTGCCACCACAACTCTTGCTACTGCTACTACAATTCCTACCACTGCAACTAAAACTCCTGCTATTGGACCTGCAACTAATTCTACTAAAAGTACGACCCCATCTACTGCGACTCCAGCTGTTGCCACTGCAACTACAACGCCTTCTACGGGAACTGCAGCTGCTGACACTGCAACTTCAACTCCTGTCAAGGGAACTTCAGATGGTATTACCCCTACTACGAGACCTTCACCTGCTGCTACTGTTACTACAACGCCTGCTACGGGAACTGCAGCTGCTGTCACTGTAAGTACTACCCCTGTGAAGGGAACTGCAGCTGCTGTCACTGTAAGTACTACCCCTGTGAAGGGAACTGCAGCTGTTGCCACTGCAACTACTACCCCTGCTAGGGGAACTGCAGCTGATACCACTGAAACTAGAACTCCTGCTACGGGAACTGCAGCTGTTGCCACTTCAACTACTACCCCTGCTAAGGGAACTGCATCTGTTGCCACTACAAATTCAACCCGAGCTACCGGAGCTGCAGCTTTTTCCACTGCGGCAACAACTTCTGCTCCCAGATCTGCAGCTGATATTAATACAACTTCCGTTACTACAACTATAATTCGCACAACGGTTACTGAAACTGTTGCCAATGAGACTACCCCTTTTGCTGCTGAAACTGAAACACCTGCTACTGGTACGTCAACTATTCCCTATACAACTATAACTGAGACAGCAGCTATCTTTCACATCAACAA